TTTGCAGGCTTTTATTGGGGTTCACCAGGCATATGGCCGGCAGGGGTGCTGGGGGGCCGGGAGGCTGGCAGGCCTCCCAGCCCCCAGCAAGTCTTCATTCTGGGCTCTCCGGGGTTCTCTGCTTCTCTCTTGGTTTCTACTGGCGTCCCCGTGACGCCACCCTTAAAAGCCCAGTCTCAACCCAGGTGAATCCCATCTACCTATGCCCACACCCTACACCAGGTGCCCGCCATCAGGCATGCATTCAGGACCACAAGGATCCATCATCTATCCTGATGGGAGGAGGACAGAAAAGCCTGACATTTTTTCCTTACCCTACAGGTTGCCTGGTTCTTTTTTCCCTAAAATAGACTTACTTAGTTTACCATGTTAGTTTCCTGATAAACTAACTCAACCCTCATACATCAGAGTTTTCTAAAAACAGTAATAGTCTTTGCTGAGCATAGTTTCTCAGCCTCAGAAAGTTCCCAACATATTTAATGTATTTACCATACATTTTCTTTTTTTTTTTTTTTTTTTTAATTTTCTAGAGGCATGTCTTATTTATCTATTTGTTTGTTTGTTTGTTTGTTTGGTTTATACATGCACTGGGTACAGTCAGAAGCCAGGAGGGCAAGAGAATTCACCAGAGCCAGAGCGGGGAGCAGAGCAGGCAGAAGGACCGAAGTACACTGCTGAGGGGAGCAGCGGGCGGCAGGAGAGGTCTGCGCGCCATGTGGGACCCTCCTCCGGTGGCCGGGCCGCGGGCAGCTTCGCAACCCAGCGCTCAACCGCTGCGCCACCTGGGAGGCCCTATTTACCATACATTTTCAAGGTAAGTCACTTGAACCATTTTCTTCCCATATAGCCTCTAAAATCTTGGAATGTGGAAATTACTACATTTACAGAGGAAAGAGATTTTAAAATCAATCATTCTAATCACAAGTCAGGCCACACTTATAAAAAAATGTGAGCTTATGGTACAATGATATTAAAATACACTAAGGGATAGGAGCCACTCAATTTTCTGCAGCTGTGGTCCTCCCTTGATGTGCTCCGCCCCGAAAAGGGGGGGGGGGAACCCACAAAAAACAAAGCCTAGAATGCCAAATTCTTTTAAGATTTTATTTTCCCAGGACTTAGTACTTTGATTGATCCTATGTTTGGTCAAATTAAATTCACTCAAGAACATGTTTGAAACCATCATCACACATAGAAAAGGGAGAGAAACAGAGATTACATATTTTTATTCTCCAGCCAGAAAATGATTTACCAAATACTCATGGAAAAGTGTAAAATATCAGTAATTAGAAAACAAAAACCCAAAGTTTTATATCTAAAGTCAAAGATGTGTAGAGGAAATGAAAAATGGGGTTGCACACAGGTGGTTATTAAAGAGCCAATGCCTTTTCCCTAGTATATAAAGCACCTGCAGGTGATAACTGTAAAGACTTTACATTTCTCTAGTGTTCATAACTCCAAAATTATAACACTGCATAGCAAAAACCTAACACCTGGCTTTCTAAAAATAATTTAGGATGCTGAAGACAAAAAGCTAATTTTATCTCCAAATGTGTATGCAGTATGTGTTGGCCACAAAACCACACTAGGGCATTACAGAAGTGGGTAAAGACGTCCTGGAACAAAACATTTCCGTCAGTAACGAGCTTGTCAACTTGCAAATGTTTATATCCCTTACCGTTTCAGGTATGAGAGCCACAGGCAATGGTTAGCTGAAATATGTCGGAGGGCTAAGTCACCAAGTCTGAAGCTAGGTCGTACTAACTGCGTAACTGCTAATTTTTGATGTTCAATAAAGAGACAAGCCTTCAGAGTTACATCTACAAGAGTTCCAATTTACCCATTCAAAGGTCTGAAGATTTTCCTGCGGTTTCTCAAGTATTTAGGAAATAAGAAAAGTCTGGACACTTCCAATGAGGAAAAGACAGACAATACAAACACTGGAACATCTCTCCTGGAACCAGTTGTCCAGGTCCGCGCCCAGATTTTTCAGAGCCTTCCAGACAATTCCCTGGGTCAAGCCCGACAAGCCCTGGGCAGGGGAAGTCTCTGGCCGCCTCAGAGCCAGCCAGGACCAGAGGCGAGGCGTCGGGGTTCCTCCTTCCCGCCGAGCCGACCCTCACCTTCTCCGGGCTCAAAGGCGCGCGTTCGCGCCCCACTTAGCTCCAGCAGCCCGTGCCCCAGCGCGGGGCCCCAGGAGTCGGGCGCGCAGGCTCCACCCGCCCCCTCCGGCCGAGTCCCCCGGGGGTGACCCATCTTCCATAACCCAGTTCTAAAGAGAAAGGGGTTGCAGCGGGAGAAAACCGCCATAACCGCCAAACACCCCAGCCGCTGCCTCGGCCAGTCCAGCGTCGGCGGGACCGCGGGCCCACCCAGCCCGGGCCCCTCCGCACACTCACCTGCCTCCCCCGGCGGCCCCCGCACCTGCTCCCGCGGCCCCGCCGCCGGCGGCTCCCGCTCCCGGTCGCAGCGCCATCTTGCCCTGGGCCTGCAGGCGCGGCCGCCCCCTTACAAGCAGCTGTCAGCCGAGGACAGCCACTTCCGGGGCAAACGCCAGGCTCCACCTCGCCGCGGGCCCAGACGGAGCGGGGCGGTGCTCTCACGTGACCCCGCGCTCGGGGGCGGTGCGGCCCTGGCCACGTGACCCGACCGCCGCCGGCGCTCCCCAGGTGCACTTGTTCTGCGGCCTGGGCCCGGCCCCAGGGAGCTGGTTCACTTCCTGGCCAGGCCCTCGTGAGTACCCAGCTGGCGGTGAGTGGCAGGGCGCAGTCAGGCCTTCGTTTGAAAAACGATTGATGGAAATACTTTTTAACTGGAGGGTACGTGGGTGTTACTGTTACTCTTTACACACAAAGGCTAGCTTGGATCCCGGAAGCTTCTTTGTTATCTTCACAGCACTGGTTAGTGATCACTTCTCTCCACTCCCCTTCACCCCCATAACTCCGCAGCTTCCTTAGGTACCCACCCCTAAAGTTAAGATATTTACATTTAGTAAATGGAAGCCCAGTCCATTTATAAAATCTCCCAAGTGCATTACTGGTGTGCTTGGTTCTGTCGTGGCCACCCCAATCAATTATCCCTACTACACCCAAGCAGCAGCAAAACACGACAACCTGGAATCTATATGGGCATATTCTACTGCGCTTTGTTCCCTAATTCAGATATTGTCAGTAAAGTATGTAAATAGAATATAAACTTTTTCAAGCCCACGAGTTTGCTTATTAGCTAGTAATAGATTAATTATAACTAGTTTTCTCATTCCTGCCTCAGGGCTTTTACAGGGACACATTTTGTAATAGTTACCTTTTATTGGGCACGAAGCACTGGCCAGAAACTGTTTCTCCCTGGAATACTGTGAACTCTGGCCTGTAGTCCCACGTCTGAAGACTCAGCTCACGATGTCATCCTTCCATGAGCTCTCTAGTGTGGATTAGCTGCCCTCCTGTGATGCTTCAGCATCAGAGGTCTTATGCCTAACATAGCATTTGCCACACTACTTGTTCTTTAGTCCCACAACTACATTTATCATTTATTACCTTACATCTGCATTGTAAGAGCAAGGACTGTCATCAAGCTTTGTATTCCTAACCAAAAATATGCTTGGTGAAGAAACATTTATTGTGAATTTGTGACCTGTCAGGCACAGTGCTACAACTTCTAAGCTTGAGACACACTTGCTATTACGCCGTTTCATATATGAAAAAACTGAAGCTCTGATAAATTAAAGGACTTATTCAAAACCATACAGATGACAAATGAATGACCCTTGAATACACCTACCTCCAGAACATAAGTATTTCTTGCACCTTATTGCATTTACATAAATTCTGAACAATTTTTGTCCTATCTAAAATATTTATGTTGAAGCCTGCATGTCCTGACTGTAGAATAAAAGGCTGAGATTAAAGGAAATAAGTTCAATTGAAACGCTGCTGAGAAAAGGTTATACTATAGTATTGCATTGCTACTGATAACTACAATTGATGCCAGGTGCCAATATAAGTACCTTACATGTATAAAGCTGATTTTTTTTTTATACTATTCTACAACACTAACAACTGAGAAAAATCTAACAAGTTATCTCCATCACTGTATAGTTCTTTACCTTTGCCAGTGACCTTCTTACTAAATGGGTGAAGGGCCATAAAGCCTCAGGAAAGATAAGCTGTAAAAGAATGAAACCAGAGGTGTATCAAATTAACAGGAACACTCTTCCTTATCACGATAAAATGTGTATTATTTTTCAAGCAAGTCTTCTTGAATGGAAAAAGACAGGGAAGAGCACAGCTAAATGATGGAAAAAGAAAGGGGAAGACTGACCATAATCTTGTAGACGCAATATTATGATACGTAAGGTATGAGCTTACCAGTGAGAGATAAGGATATTTAATAGGCCAACTAATTAAATATTTTAAGAAACTTAAATTAGTCACAGAAGACAGATCTCTTTGTTGTAGCTTATGCCACAAAAGCCTATGAACAAACTAAGAATTGTTAGAATTAAGAGAGCAGTAGGTCTCTTCTTAATAGCCTGTGCTGTTGCTCTTTGTCCGTCTTCCCCCCAAAAATGTGGAGGTGGGAAGGGAAATTTAATCTTAAGTCTTTACTTTGAAACTTGGTTCCAGGTTGCCTCCCCATAGCATACCTACATCACACCTTCCTTCACACTTGAAAGAAAAATCCTTAAGAGTTCACCACATTTGGGTGTTACTTTTAGCAAAAGCTTTTGTTCTTCTGTAAGAAGTATCTCTCTGGATTCAAACAACAGAAGTGTCAATGAGTGTTATTTCCACTGTATCATCATGTAAAAGTCACCTACAATTTGATATCTGACATAATGCATTGAGAGTTTAGGATCATTTCTCACTAGTCCAGTGTTCTTGTTTGTAGTTGACTTCAAATGACTGGTATAGGCGATTATATTACTTGAAGTTTTCCATGAAAACAATATTCATACTGGAATCATAAAATTGTATTTCTTAGACAGTCTTTTAAAGTATCTGTTTTAATTTTTATCTTCAAGAGTTACTTTCTTCTTGCTGTTCTGATCAGTGATGTTTTTCCTGTGACAAGGAAAATAAGGACAGTTGAATAGAAATTCTAAATCTACATACTGGGGCCTCCCTGGTGGCATAGGGGTTAAGTCTCAGTGCTATCACACCATCACTGCTGTGGCCTGAGTTCGATCCTCAGCCATGGAGCTACCCACATGGTGCAGCAGACTTCTCCTGTCTTGCCTGCGGCTTCCCTCAGCAGTGTATTTCAGTAGATCCACCTGTTCTGCTCTCCACTGTCTCTGGTGAATCCTCTCACTCCCCACACATGTGGCCTACACGTACCCAGTTCTTCTAAGCATAATTAAAAAAAAAAAAAAACTTTAAAAATAAATTAATACATATACATACTTTCCAAAATGACCAGTTTAATATTAGTGAAACCTACTGTATAATAACATATATGCAGTCTAGAAACACAAAGATGCATTAGACATAGTCTATGTCCTTTAGAAAATTATAATCACCTTAGTAATGAAAAAAAATCACAACAAATGACACTATAACATGGTATAAAGGACAGTTTCTGATCCTGATCTAATAATAACTTCATATTGATTAATATGAAGTGCTAGATATTATTGTAAGTGCTTTGGGTAACTTCCCTAATTTATAAAGAAGATTCTATTATCCTCATTTTACAGATGAGGAAAATGAGGTAGAGTGGTTAAGTGACTTGTTAATCACTATATACTAGTAACAGAAATTTGACATGAACTCTTGAGAGTCTGATTTTAGAGTTTGGTAAATGAATGCCGTCAACTAAATGTTAATACAGGAAAAGGAAAAAACATTTTGAGAAAATAATGTTTGCAATATGTTATAGCTATACAAAGTTCTCAGATGTACATTAAGTCATTTAATCTTCAACCTACCCTGAGTGGCAGAGCCACTCATTTTGTGTCATTTACTCAAATTATGTATCATTTACATAATTATTGGGAAGTGCTTTGTCCAAAGTCCAAGAATTGTGCATCCTGTTGCCACATGGACCTCAGTTCAGGCACTACAAGATGAACCTAGTGTAGTGGAGGGAAATAATTATGTCCTAATGTAGGCCATGTATTGCTGAGGGGCAGTGTAATTCTAATTCATGGTGAATTGAACTTGTATTTTCACAGATGGGAAAAACCAGATCATCAATATACAGATACAGAAAAATTCCATCAAGTTGATCAAATCATCAAGTTCCCAATTCATAGGCAACCTAAGATATATTACTTTTTTTTTTTTTTTTTTTGTGGGACCCTTGCCAGCGGCCGGGGAACGAACTGGCGCTGCAGAGGCTGCGGGCAGCCTCGCAGCCCAGTGCCCAACTGCTGCGCCACCAGGGGAGGCCCTAAGATATATTAGTTTTATTAAATTCTTTTTTTTTTTTAAAGATAATTTATATAAGAACTGGGGTACAGTCAGAGGCGTGGGAGGGTGAGAGAATTCACCAGAGACAGAGTGGGGAGCAGAACAGGGAGACGGACTAAAGACACTGCTGAAGGGAGCAGCAGGCGCAACAAGAGCGGTCTGCCGCGCCATGTGGGTTTCTTCCTGGCTGGCTGGGAATCAAACCCGCGCTGCAGAAGCTGCTGACAGCTTCACAGCACAACGCTCAACCTGCTGCGCCACCGGGGAGGCCCTACTTTTATTACATTCCATATTGGACTATTGACCTGTTAATTCTACTTAGAAAATTTTATCTTAAGGAAAAATAATGCCTACTATAACAATATGACAGAATCAAGCAGTGACATTTCTTACTATATACTTACCTTTTATCCTTAGCTTTTTCTAAGAAATATTTTGGTGTTGTACTAATGCTCTCCCTTTCCAATGGCTTCTTAATCATCTTTTTCTTTTGTTTGCTAAAAATGACAAAATAAGAAGAACTGTCACTTAATTTAAAAGAATTCAAACTAGTTTGATCCTTGATCACAAAATTCATTTTTTAATACACTTTTGGTTTCCAGCGACACTTTGTCCACTTTAATGTAACAAATTACCTGATAGCATTTAGAGAGGTAACCCAGATAATAAATTGAATCAGCTTTTCAAAAAGGACTATGATTAAAATATTTCCTATGTCAACCATATATCCTGTGCCAACAAGCATTAGAGTTCGATTTTCGCTAATCAATTCTTTTTTGGTTTTTGTTGTTTCTTTTATCAGTTTTATAAACTAAAATAAATTCTAAGCATTTTACTAATCAATGAACACTTAAAAATCTGAATACTTACAATTTCAAGGATGAAGAAAGTGACAAGGAAAGAATATACACAAATATTTAAAAGGAAAATAGTCATATTAGAACTATAATGTGTAAGAATGTGAGAGCAAGAATGTCTAAGCAAAGAGAAAAACTTTAGGTAAATTCAAGATTGTACCTTAGTAGTTTTTGAAAACCTTTGATGTATTCTGGTACTGGACATCCGGCCTGTTGTATAACATTGGCAACGCTGGAAAAAGGTGCCCATAAGCATAAATTTGTATCTTGTCAAACTGATATGTATGTACTTAAAGACAACACAATGTAAGAGAAGCTAAAGTCATTCAAACAAGAATGTAATCCAGTAGTGTTCTGATATATTATCAATTATCATCAGATACAATCACATTGGATTATTAAATCTGCTACACCAGCATCTGCACTGATGAATAATTTTAGACAGTAGTTATTTCTACTCAACATTAATGAGTAACGCAAAAGTTATTGAACCAATCTTGGATGAGTGTGTTACTAGTAATTTTTCCTAGCAGATTCAAGCTTAAATAAATATTTTAAGCTTAATACTATGGGCTTGGCATGGTCTTAAACCTTTTAATTCTCACAGTGACATTAACCCTGTTTCCCAGATAGAAAAGGTGCAGCTACACTGATCTGAGGGTCATCCTACTCATATGCTTGAGTTAGTGAGCACACCTTTATAGGAATATAAACGTTTGGAATATGTTTCCCTACATCTATGAAAGTCACTCAAGGTGAAACCAAGGCTGACAAAGCCATGGCTCAGAAGGAAAAGGTCAAAATCTTTACCAAAACTGATAAATAGAACTAAGAACAAACTATCTTCAGTCATAACTCAATTTCATCTATTAGAAATATGAAGCACTGTCAATTATCTTAAGGCTAAAAGCCTACTGTAGACAGTCAAAATGCAGGAAACTCAAGTTTCTAAATGAAAATCTATGATGATAGGTTAAATTAAGACTGAAAATATATCAGATTGCTCAAGGGCTACGAGTGAGTTAACAGTGGAGTGTATTACTAATAATTTTTCCTAGGATTAAATATAAAACTGTATCTGTCCTAAAAATAATGGGAAGGATGCACCAGGATAAGAGAGAATTCTGAATGAACCGAAGAGACTCAGGAGTTAACTTTAAAGTATTCGCTAATCCAGACACCTTATTCTTACACTGTGAGTAATACTAACAGCTATTGAGAGAATCTTATGAGTCTGAAGTAAAATAATAAACATACCATTATGAGTATTTCTAATAATGAAAAGGCAAAAACAAAGGCCCTCTGGTCATTTTTCCTGTTCTCATTTTCTGTTAATTGTGTATACGTATAAGAATAAAGCAATTTTTGCCAGCTTAAAATCAAGTTGTTTTTCCTAATTTACCTTCTTAATAATGGTTTATCATCTTCAGTGAAAAATGTAACAGCTTTTCCTTTATGCCCTGCTCTTCCAGTTCTACCTAAGAGAAACCAGATCATAAAAAACAAGATTCACATATAAAAGTCACTGGATTTTTCACAGCACTAAAACCTGAGCATCATTGAAAGGAACAGTTAGAGGGGCTATTACAACAAGTGGGAGCCTAGTGGGAAGGGAGAGAGGAGAGACAACTTACCTATCCGGTGGATATATTCCACTGAGCTGGTTGGAAAATCATAGTTGATCACCAAGTTAACGCCTTTAAAATCAATCCCTCTGGCTAGCAATGCTGTGCAAATAAGAACCCAGATTTTTCCTGCTCTGAAGCTATGGACTGTGTTGTCTCTCTGGTTAAAAGAACATAAATGTTTTAGTACCACTCTAAGAATGGAAAACAAGTATTTCATAAATTTAATACTATTTTTCAGTCTAGGTATTATTTTGAAATGCTACATTTGACCTTACCTGTTGCTGTGTTCTGTCTGCATGAATAACATCTACATTAATACCTTCGTATATAAGCTCACGAAAAAGTTCTTTAGCTCTCTCAATGGACTGAACAAAAACAAGAACAGGTGGAGTGAAACCCTGAAAGAAAGAAGGCAAAAATATCAACACACATAATCTATAATCAAGAATACAATCAACATTTCATGATTTTAGCTCATTAAAAAGCCAATTCAATTTAGTGTGCTTTCCATTGCCAAATTTCTTAGACCCTGGGGTCTCAATCTGCTTCCATCTTCCTCACTATCCATTCTCTACTCAACTTGAACTGTAATTTCCATTTTGCTAATTCTGCTAATCTAGACTAATTAATCCCACCTCCTTTTCCTTTCTCCAATAATAGATGCTCACTCCTTACAACTATCACCTTTTGGGTTTGGTGCCTCAGAATTTTTTTATTCTAAGATGCAATAATTGTCTTTTTAATTCATTGTTTATCCTAATTGTGGACCCTCCCCCACCTCATCTTAGTCCTTTGTTCTCAGTTCTATCAACATAATCTTAATCTTATTAAATAAAATTTCAGTTATGAGTTACCGTAGTCCTAAGCAGATGATTTTTACAATCTTATCATCAACGTGCCCTGCTCCCAAACCAGCTTCCTGAATTATCAACTGTCTACACTATGATTAATATTTTGATTTTGATACATACACACTTTCAGAATCTAATGTAAGTGATGAAACTAACAGCAACCACACACATAAAAATACTAACGTGTAATTCTAGAGGGCTCACAGACCTCTCAAAATTCATATAATTACAAATCCCTGGTGTATAATCTCCAGTGTCTGTGAAAAATCTTAAATTTCTTGGTGTAAAATAATACCCTAAGACTATTAATAGGGGTAGGGAGGGAAAAAAAAAGATTATTAATAAACACATAAAGCATTTATTATTCTGGATTGCCAGGCACTATTATAAGCGCTATATTTATAGGAACTCATTAATACTAAAATAATATTGAGAAACTATTATTCCCAGTTTACAGATGAGGAAACTGAAAATGGGAAGTTAATTTGCTTAAAGCTCAACTTCCAATCCAGGTAGTTGGCTCTAGCATCCATGTTCTTAACCTCTTCTGTAGTCACAAAGTACTTGCAACACCTTTCCCTTTCAATCCCCAACTACTAGTGCTTTACCACTTAGACTGTCACCTCATTTCTTTCTTCCTTATCATCTCTGACCAGTCTAGTTCAGCAGTCTGCTAAGTGGTTTCCTGATTTTTAGTCTCTTTCCATTACAATCCATCTTACATAGTGTTTAACGAATTTTCCTTTAATGTGGTTATATTCTTCAAAAATGTCGAGTGGACACAATTGATCTTAATTCTTACCATGAATTCTTTGCCTTTCATGGCAAACACAGTGTTATCTCCCACATCTTAGACTTTACTCTGCTGCTCCTCCACTCATCATTACTCTTGCTCTCCACCGTAGTCCACAAATGAATGTCCAGAGTAGCAGCATTTGCTTTATATGACCTTCCCTAACCAATTCAACTCACCCTGATGGTACCTTTATGACTGTCTAGGTGCTTCAGGAAAAAATGCACTTTATGGCACTTTGTCACAAACTATCTTACACAAGTGTACTGATTTCATCCTCTAAAAAAGACTAAATTCCAGGAGGAGGATTTAGGATTTGTATTTCTTTTATTAACCCCTGCCCTGAAAATTTTTTAACTATGATTTCGACTCAGTATTTACTGAAGGGATAAAAACAGAAAACACCACTCAGTGTCCTACATATTCTACAATGTACTAGTTCTATCAGAAACCTAGAGATAGATGGGGGGATTGGGGGTAAAGGAGTACATATGTATTTATGAAAAAGGTATGCTTTCAGGTATCAGGTAGGTCTATTCCTGAGCAGGGAACCAAAAACTTAACCATATCCTAAGAGGTAAGCCTCTCCACTTGGGATGACAATCGGCTCAATGTGCTTCTTAACATTTTACCACTCAGTTATTAAATATTATGCAGGAATACTGCTCAATCTCTCATCAGTAATATAAAGTTTGGTGAAGTTTATCAAAATTCAAGAATATAACACAAATATACCTTTTTCACAAGTTCTCTCATAGCCAGAAGTTTTCCTGTCTCAGACCCAACAAAGAGAAGTTCTTGTTCTACAGTCTCTACAGCAGAGTTTCTGAAAAGAAAACATACTTTGTCATTTGCAAGAGCTACTTTTTGTTGTCCTCCCATTCTAACAGTTTACTTTTCCATTGAATTACTAATATTTTAAATTGAAGAAAAAGTTATTTTAAATGTTTTATTCTAAATTATCTCAAGAAAATTTGAAAAAGGTATTTTAAAAATGAAAACTGCCCAAGCTCTATTTTAGAATAGACATTCTATTGTATACTAGTCATATATTTTCATGTCTTTAAAAAATTCTGAAATTAAAATTGTTAGGTTAAATATTGAAAGTATTTTTAAAGTTGCTATTACAATATGGCTGAAACTTTTTTCTTAAATGATTAGCAAAGGCTGCTATATAGGCAGAAGTTAGGGGTGAGGTATTTTAAGGCTTTATTAATATTCTATAAGGTGTTGCAGTATGTTATACTGTGTCATTTATTCTGTTGTCTCTTGCCTGGCAAATTTGTTCTATTTCCTTTTTATACAGAGAAATTTTAAGTTTAAAGTAGGCAAGGAGGGCCTCCCCCGGTGGCGCAGTGGTTGAGCGCTGGGGTGCGAAGCTGCCTGCAGCCTCTGCAGCGCTGGTTCGATTCCCAGTCACTGGTGAGGGTCCCACATGGCGTGCAGACCTCTCATTCCGCCCGCTGCTTCCCTCAGGAGTGTATTTTGTCAGTCTGCCTGTTCTGTTCCCCGCTGTCTCTGGTGAATTCTCTCACCTCCTGCTCTTCTGACTGTACCCAGTGCTTGTATAAATAAATAAATAAATCTTAAAGTAGGCAAGGAATTGTTTACTTTTTTACTTAACGTGTTATTACAAGCACTTATTCTTACAGCTATAGTCTTCACACTTATTTCATGAGTTGCAGAATATTCCATCAAATAGCAATACTGTAATTTCCTAAAAATCTTTTCTTTTATTGAGCATTCATTTAGCTCAATTCCAGGATGCTCTGGAAAATTTGTTTTTTATTTCATATTTTTTAAAGATTTATTTTATTTATGCATACGAGAGCTGGGGTACAGACCAGAGGTGTCGGGAGGGAGTCGGGGGTGAGAGGATTCACCATAGACAGAGCAGGGAACAGAACAGGCAGATCAACCGAAGTACACTGCTAAGAGGAGCAGTGGGTGAGCCAGGAGAGGTATGCTGTGCCATGTGGGTTGCTCCCTGGCCGGCTAGGGATCGACTTTGTGCTACAGAGGCTGTAGACAGCTTCACAGGCTGCGTCTTAACCCTTTGCACCACCAGGGAGGCCCAAAAACTTGTTTTTTAAAAGGAATTATAAATCAAGTAGCTCAGTAACATTAGCTTCTTCCTGTGATTCTACCTAGGATCTAAGAAACTCAATCCTTTGGGTGACTACAGAACTCATAGCATGCACTGTGGATGGGAAAATTAACTAAAAGTATGATGATAGGAATATTAAAGGGCAAAATGAGTATCTCCCTCTGGATTATTCTAATCACTTTAAAGGATACATTTCTTTCATTAAAATATTCTTCAGTGTCAAACAACCTATTTCCTCAAGTCAAAAAATATTTTATACACATACATGAAAAAAACTCATAATTAAAAAGAAAAACTGGGGATAATATGTAAGAACAATTACCTTGCTCCAATAGATACAGTAATGACATTGTCCAGATTAAGTTTGCACCACTGCTCAACATCATATGCAAAAGTTGCACTGAACATAGCTCTTTTGACCTTGTGGGATGTGCAGGCTAGGAAAATGGAAGCCAGCTGGTCTCTGAACCCAGTTTTGCCATCTTCAAACAGTTTGTCTGATTCATCAACTACCAGCCATTCAACACTAAGAAATAACAAAACAACTCATGGGTATTGACTGAAATGGAAGATCCAAAATTCTTCATTGAACTGTGGGGACACAAAGTTGTCAAACCTTGATGCTACTTCTCAGACTCACTTAAACCAGAAAAAATAAACAGAAAAAAGGTAAAAGCAAGATAAACATAAATGTTCTATTCCATTAGCCTCAAGGGTAAGAGATTCCATTAGCAATAGCAGAGCTTCACATTGACCTTAACAACTCCATCAACATTGCTAAAAGATGCCTAAACATCTAGAGGAATTCTGTGCTACCTTCCTAGCAAAATCTGTAACTTTCTCCCAGACCATGGGTGAATTACTTTTCTGTGACTTTAGCATGTCAAACTGACTGAAAGTTGTAAGAAAGATCCAAAGGGCAATAATACAAACAACTGAGTTCAAATTATAATTAACTAAAATGAAAAACAATATAAGAGATACTAAAATATCATTTGTACCTTGTTAAGTCTATTCCCGGAGGATCTTGCTTTAATAAGTAGATTAGTCGATTTGGAGTAGTCACAAGAATATCTATAAGAAAAAGAAATGGTAAAAATAGCAAAAGGCAGAATCATCCCTCTTAAACTAGAGAATCAATCCTCCTGCATGTCAGCTAATAATCTGAAGTTGGGAGAGGAGAATGGTCATAATCACTACATCCAAAAACACAAAAGTTCTTCCTTATTAAGCGAATAAACATTTTTTTAACCCTTTGCACTCCGAACCATTCTGGACATTGGCTACCAATGTCCCCTGAGAGGGGACAGTGGAGTGCAAAGGGTTAAGCTACCATAGCACAAAACACTACATCCTTACTCTCCCTTTATTATATTTCATTTATCTTCTCAGTTTCTAAGAGGCAAGAACACTGTAATCCAGCAATTTGATTTTCAAACATGTTTGTTTTTCAATCTTGTCTTTAAATAAAGTTCTACTCAGAGCTTAAGATAAAAGACAGATAAAAAAGCAGGTTCTCTGGCTGATATAAAGTCAGGGATGTAGCCATTCTTAACTGCAGAGTATGTTCATGGTAGATTAAAAATCAGTAGTATAAAGTAGGAGTTCTCAACCTTAGCACTACTGACATTTTGGTCCAGCTCACTCTTGGTTGTTGTGGATGGTACAGCGCACTGTAGGATACTGAATAGCATCCCTGCCCTCTTCCCACTACAGATCAGTAGTACCCCTCCCCAGTTGTGATGGCTTAAAAAAGGTTTCCAAATACTTTCAAATGCCCTGGGATGGAGGATGCGGTAGGGGTGTGGGACAAAACTGCTTCAGGCTGAGAACCACTGGCATATGCTATATTTATGTACCTACCGGGTGAGAGTGGGGAGGGGAATCTTCTTTAGCATCTGTGAAAATCTAACTATTTGCATAACTACACTTTAAGAACCCTTAAGTGATAATTAAGATATTTGTAATTTTCAGATCCCTTATATGGTCTGTATTTCAAACATGAATCCCTTACCAAACTTCTTAGATGATTTAGGTCCAAATTTCTTGGCTGCCACTGCTGCTTTGTGGATCATGTGTATCCTGAATCCTGTTCCCTCAGAGATTTTTACTAATTCTCGGTGAATCTAAAAATGGAAAAGAATAAAAACATGAACTACACTTGGATAAGATGCAGTCTCTTTTATATTATTAATAAATTACTCCATTGCCATGAATATCTGAATATCCAGATTAATCTACAGATTAACCTGGAATCTTAGCATTTTGGAACATCAATGCCCATTTAGATTCAGTAAACGAGTTCTAAGAGAGAAAACCAAGTCTTCCAATCTATTTATTATTCTAATTTTATTTTTATTTCTTAATGTGATTGTATTCATTCTCTTAGTAAATTGTATTCATTCTTTTATTTTTATTATTTTTTTAAAGATTTATTTATTTATGCATACAAGAGCTGGGGTACAGGCCAGAGACGGGGGGTGGGGGGTGTGTGAGAGGATTCACCAGAGACAGAGTGGGGAACAGAACAGGCAGACTGACCAAAGTACACGTCTAAGGGGAACAGCAGGCGAGTCAGGAGAGGTCTGCTGCACCATGTGGGTTTCTCCCTGGCCGGCCAGGGATCGAACTCGTGCTGCAGAGGCTACAGATTGCTTCACAGTGCAGTGCTTAACCCCTTGTGCCACCAGGGAGGCCCAGTATTCATTCTTTTAGCAAATACTAATAAATACATTTTTGTTTTATATGACATTATAACAGTACATTCAGGTGAGCTAACTATTGCTTTTAGAATACTACTGCAAAACTTTTTCACACTTGGCATGTATTCTCTATTAAGTACATTGGGAGGTGTGGAGCAGATCATGATAAAGCTATACTTTATCAAAAACTGACATTTCTTTTTTTCTAGATGAGAAAAATTAATTTTAGAGTATATTATTATAATGGCTTTACAGCTTTAAGGATCTAAGAGCATTTACTAAAGAAGTATAAAGTATTAAAAACAAACACATTTTAAAACAGTATAGAAAGGATTAAAGACTTGTCCATATGCACTGAGAGACAAAGCAAAGTACTCTGTATAGAATTCCTGACTATAACTAAAGACACAGGCCTTATGCTTTCTGAAACTTTTTTAATCAACTTCATTTTTTTTTTAGATTTTTTTTTTTAAAGATTTACTTATTTTTATGCAAGAATTGGGGTACAGGCCAGATGCGCGGGAGGGTGAGAGGATTAACCAGAAACAGAGCAGGGAACAGAACAGGCAGACTGAAGAAATACACTGTTGAGGGGAGCAGCAGGCGAGACAGGAGAGGTCTGCTGCACCCTGTGGGATTCTCACCAGCCGGCTGGGATCAAATCTGTGCTGCAGAAGCTGTGGACAGCTTCACAGTGCGGCGCTCAACCGCCTGTGCCACCAGGGAGGCCCTTTTATCACCTTCAAGTAAGAAAATTAGTTGAAGCAAATACCAAGCACATCCTTTTCCAAAGGTGTAACTCCTACCTGATTGGCAAGTTCTCGCGTTGGTGATATAATCAGGGCCCTAAAGCCTTTATTTGTTGGTTGTTTCAGCTGCATTAAAATAGGAATGCTAAAAGCCAAAGTCTTTCCAGATCCAGTAGGAGCAGAAGCCAGAAGTTCCCGACCCTAAAAGAGAATTAGGGTGAGAAATAGTGATTAAAGTAAGGCATTTGAGAGGGACTTTAAAAGTAAGGGAATAATATCAACAAGGGGGGAGGTAAGGTAGAAAGATTTCAAAGACAAGGAGAAAATAAATAGAGCACTTCACACTCACATGGAGCATAACTGGAATGGCTTGCATTTGGATTGGGGTAGGTATCTGAAAGCCTGCATCTAGAATATTCTGAAGCAGTTTAGAATTGATTTTATATTCCTGGTCAAGTTGCTGAAAAGTAGCAATTGGGTCAGGAAGATCAGTTCCTTGGATGTGAATTTTATGTTTATTCCGGAGGAAGTTTATCTGAAAAGTAAAATATAAAGCGCTCATCATGGAGATGACACAAATGTTGTGAAACAACTATAACAGTTTTTAAGGTAGGCTTTAGCAGCATGGGAAACTTTTTAGTTAAATTCCAAGCCCTAATAGGTAGAGATATTGAGTACACTTCATGACCTTTCACAGACAAAAGACAGAACAATGAAAGCTGTATCTATTCATGCTTTCTTCACACTGATGTGTCAATACCATACATAATGTGTATTCATATTAATGTGTTACTGCCAAAATTATAATCTTATATAAAATTTTAGAAGGTAGGCATTACATCCACCATTTTTTGGATGATTAAAAAAAAAAAAACTGAGTACCAAAAACAGTCAACTGGTACTGATTTGTGTCCCCATACTATGATCCAGAGACAGCAACTCCTGACCTCTAGTTACTGAAGTGAGCTGAACATGTCTCTCCAAGTGCAACACGTAAGGTGTATAGGAGAAATGACACTGGGATATTTGTTGTTTCTTCTGTATTCTACTCCCCCTAGTCCCACATTATACAAATACTTTTCTTAAGAATTCCAACTCTCAAATCCCTGTCAGAGGACATTCTTACAAACCAGTGAGCTCAACAACAGGAAAAAGGGATCAAATTTTATGTTTATGAAAGGGGATAAGAAATTTTAAAACCTCAATTCTACACTCAATATTGAAACTTGAAGAGGTCAAGCACAATGCATATATTTTTGAGAATTTTAAAATTCAAAATTTTCAGCCACAGCACAAATAACTACTTTGCTTTCAGTTTTCACTACAGTAAAATTTAATAATCTTCTACCTTCACAAAACCATATTCACTTTAACCCACCAAATAACTGAAAGACAGTGAAAAAGTCACCAGAGGTCAGAAAATCAACTGAGGGCTGAGCCATTTTCTAACCTTTTCCTTTCTGAGATGCTCCAATTTTCCTGAAGTTAGTTTATTTTCTTTTTTAACTTTTTTATCTTCAATTTTGGCTTCTACAGATGATATCCATTGTATAGTAGAACCTTCTTCTTGAGAAATAATTTCTAAAATATGTTTAAAAAAATTGAAAGATTTTATTTTATTTTTAAAGATTTATTTATTTATTTATTTATACAAGCACTGGGTACAGTCAGAAGCGCGGGAGCGTGAGAGGATTCACCAGAGCCAGAGCGGGGAGCAGAGCAGGCAGACTGACGAAGTACACTGCTGAGGGGAGCAATGGGCACAGCAGGAGAGGTCTGTGTGCCATGTGGGACCCTCGCCCAGCAGCCAGGGATCGAACTGACGCTGCAGCGGCTTCAGGCAGCTTCGCAACCCAGCGCTCAACTGCTGCACCACCGGGTAGGTCCAAAAAAATGGAAAGATTTTAAGTGTAGCAAACAGGTGTAGCAAACAGGCCTGATCTTGACACTAAACAAAAAGAAGCATACTAGCTTATGCAACTAGATTTTATTATTTTTTTCATTTTTATTTATATATTTTTACATAGTTGTTCCTTTTTTGGGAAAAATTTATTTTTATTTATGCATACAAGAAGTATGCATAAATACACATGTAGGCCAGAGGTACAGGGGGTGAGAGGATACACCAGAGACAGTGTGGGAAGCAGAACAGGAGGATCTACTAAAATACACTGCTGAGGGGAGCATTGGGAGAGACAGGAGAGGTCTGCTGCCCCATGTGGTTTAGCACCTTTCCAGGGGATAGAACTAATGCTGCAGTGGCTGCTGATAGCTTGATAGTGCTGAGACTTAACCCCTTGTGCTACCAGGGAGGACCCCGTTGTTCACTTTTGTACATGTTTGATTTCTCCTCTCAGGTGTTGTCCCCATAAAATTACTATCACCAAGACATCTGTGAACTGTCACTAAGACTCTTGTGCTCTTCCCTCCTGTTTTGATCCCTCTCCCTCCCCCTCCCTTGCCCCTGCTGAATGTCTCCAATTTATAATTTGCCTGATACTTTCATTTTTATTTTCTTGTGATCCCTTGTATGGTTTCTCTATGTTCCTCTTATAAGTGAAACCATTCAATGTTTTTCTTTTCCCTTCTGACTTATTTCACTGAGCATAATCCCTTCCAGCTCCATCCATGTTACTGCTAATGGTATAAGTTTCTATCTTTTTTGATTTATGCAAATGGATTTTAAAAAAGCAATAGAAGGTATTAAAAATGGAAAGGAGAGGCCAATTTTGAGATGGTAAATTCAGAGCTCTGAAGCTCATTCTCTCCTTTTCGTATTTCAACTGCGTAAAATGTAGCTGATGACTATATACTTCAAAGCAACAAGGAATTACTGAAAACTACTGAGACAGTAGGAAGTTTCAACAAGGCAGCCATCTCTTCTATATCCAAACAACAACCTAGAAATTAAACTTGATGGGAAAAAAAAGATGTTACTTATAACATCTTTTAACATAATAGGAATTAACATAATAGGAACATAACATCTTTTAACATAATAGGAATGAATAGATGTTACTTATAACATCTTATAATAGGAATGAACACAATGCTTAAGGACTTCTCAACATTTGAGATAGTAATTCTCAGTAAGGCTATAAATAACACTAGTTCAATAAAAAGTAATGAGAGGATTATTTTGATAACTGGACTAGTTGACTATAAAATTTATAGGGGAAAACAAATATGTAAGAATAACCTAAAAATCTGTAAAATTAATGAGCAAAAACTACTTCTACTGGAATTTTAGTTTTTTTCACTGAGGCATAATTGACATATAATAAATCACATATAAAGAATACAATTTGAGGAGCTTTGATATTGTATACACCTGTTAGACAATCACCACATTTAATCTTATTTCCATCACTTTCCCAAAACTTCCTTGTGAAATCTTGAATTGCACTGCTCCATCACTAGGCAACCACCAGTATGTTTTCTGGCATAGATTAGGTTTTTTTTTCTTTCACAAATTTTATATAAAAGGAACCACGTAGTACATATTAGTCTGGCTTCTTTCATTCAAGATAGTTAGATTGTGAGATTTCATTCTTACTGTAGTATGTATAAACAGTTCTTATTAATAGGTAGCATTCCATTGTATGGATATACAATTTCTCTTCCTTCACCTTTTAAAGGACATCTGGGTCATTTCCAGTTTTTGGTTATTTACAAATACTTATGTAAATTCTGTGAGGACACAGGTTTTCCTTTCTCTTGAGTAAATTCCAGGAGTGGAATAGGTGGGTCACATGGTAAGTGCAAGTTAACTTTTTTCAAAAGTCCCCAAATCTAATCAGGGTTTTGTACCATTTTATTAATAGTGTATGAGAACTTATTTCTGTACATTCATACAATAGGCATGGTTAATCTTATAAATTTTAGTCATTCTAATGGGCATGTAGTAGCACTGTGTTGTGGTTGTAACATACCAGGTGACTAATGATGTGAAATATCTATTGTATGCTTACTGCTGTGTGTGTGTATTTTTTTTGGGGGGGGGGGTAAAGTGTATACCAGTTCCTTGTCTGATATATGTATTGCCAAGTATTTTTTTCTGTGTCTGTAGCTTGCCCATTTATTTTCTTAATGCTATTTTTCAAAGAGCTAAGAGTTTCAATTTTGATTAACTCCAGTTAATCAAAGTTGCAAAGATTTTTTTCCCTATGTTTTCTTCTAGAAGTTTTAGTTTTAGATTTTACATTTCAGTCTGAGTCATATTAAGTTAATTCTTATTTATGGAGTTAAGGGATGACTTTCATTTTTTTCCTAATGGACTTAGCATAATTTGTCGAATAATCCATTTGGCACCTTTGTAGAAAATTAATTGACCATGTATGTATGGATCTATGACACACTATTCTGTTCCACTGATCCATTTATATATAGTTTTTAAAAGCTCAAAATATCTTGATTACTATAGTTTTTAGTAAATCTTTAAATCAGATAGTGTAAGTCCTTAAACTCTGTTCATCTTTTAAAAAATTGCTTTGGTTATATGACCTCCTTTGTCAATTTCTTAAAAAAAAAAAATATAGCCTGCTGGAATTTAGGCAGAAAATATTCCTTGTCCAACTCTGTAAACATGGCATGTCACATCACTATCAGATTTTATGATGCAATAGATATTATAAAGCCAATGTAATTAAAATAAGCTGGTTTTGGTGTAGGATACAAAAATATAAAACAAAGAAATAGCACTGAACCGAGATATAGACCCAAATATATACATATGAAAATACAAATGATTTTTAAAAAATTATGTTCTTTTTATGAGACAGTTGGCATTAATAGAACAAAACAGGATAGCATATAAGTTTATCATCATTCATCTTTTCTAAGGGTGGTATAAATACATATGAATAGAATATCTCTACAAAAATATTTTAATTGATTAATAGTAGTTAGTTGCCTTTGAAGAAGGGGACGAGAGATAAAAGAGTGGGAAGAGAATTTACTTTTCACCATTGTGCCACTTTTAAATACCGTGTGCATTTGCTTTATTAAAAAAAGCTAAATGACTAGGAAAGTAAACAGATACAATTAAAAAGAAGACAAATATTCCTATAGCACAAAAGGAAATACCTTGTCAAAAATAGGCAAGGGCCTCCCTGGTGGCACAAGGAGTTAAGCACAGCACCGTGAAGCTATCGCAGCCTCTGCAGCATGAGTTCGATCCCCAGCCAGCCAGGGAGCAACCCACAAGGCGCAGCAGACCTCTCCTGACTTGCCCGCTGCTCCCCTCAGCAGTGTGTTTCAATAGATCTGACTGTTCTGCTCCCTGCTCTGTCTCTGGTGAATCCTTTCACCCCGTGCACCTCTGGCCTGTACCCCAGCTCTTGTATGCATAAATAAATAAACCTTAAAAAAGAAATAGGCAAGAGTAAGACCAGACAATTCACAAAATTTGAAAAGTAAATACCCAGTAGAGCACATTAAGAGAGGCTCAACATCAAGATAATATAAACAAAATCTAGTTTCATTCATTAAATCATCAAAAAATTTAGCACTAATAGTTTTCAGCACTGATGAGGGTATGGGAAGCACTTTTTCAGTCTGTGTTCAAAGAATGTGTATGTTTTCTCATCCAGTGATTCCACTTTTGGCGTACAAATTACAGAAATAACAGCACCTGTACCTAAAGACATGTATCCATACTGTAGCAGTCTCTGTAATAACTAATACCTGGGAAAAAATGACCTGACTGCTATCAATTGACAAATGCCTGGTACTTTCTGACATGTAACCCTGCGTTTTTATTATTTTGTAACTGAAAAAATTTAATAAAGAGAAAAAACAGAAATCAAGCACTAACCTGAAGTCATCTTTTTCCTCTTTTTCCTCTGTTCTCTCTTCCTTTCAGCTAGGCACTCTTCTTTTTTCTCTTCACCATGGAACTCCTCATTAGTTCCTGATGCTCCAGCCTCACCTGGGACGGAGTTCTTGGTTCCAAAAAAGTCCAGTCCCTGAAGCACCTCTGAAGAATCATAATCATACTTTCTTTTTCCTACCTAAAACCCCAAAATTTTTAGATTAAATCTACTGACAGGCCGGCATTGCTTTCACACAAGCAGCATTGACAGTAAAAACATGGGCACATCTTTCTTACCCTTTCCCATATATTTGTTGACCTAACCAGGGTATCTGAGCAAATGGAATCCAAGAATAGACCCTTCTTCATCTCATAAAACATACAGTAACAACAACAAAACTAACACTTAGGTATGCTTATCAGTTTAATACTTATAAGGCTGTCAGGCAGATTTCTAAGCATGTTTATTACCTATCAAATTATTTCATCCTTCAACAACTCTAGGCCGCAAACAGCAGTATTACAGATGAGAAAACCGAGGCGGGTTAAGTAACTTTACCAAGTTCTTAAAAACCAGTAACTGGCTGACCAGCGCTTTGGACCCGAATAATCCAGCTCCACAGTTCAAACTCTAAACTACACTAACTGCCATTAAGAGAAAGAAGAAACACACACAGACTCCCTAGTCCCGATAGTAAGGTTCACATTTAAGATTTTCAACAACTGTGCCCCAACTGATTTCTCCCATCTGATCATTCAGATCAGTAATCCTCATTGGTTACTTAACACGTGGTAGGTTGCAGGAATAAGAACCTCACCCACTCGAGCTACAAGCATGCCGAGCCAGACCGGGGGGTACCACAGTAAAGAATCTTCTCTTCATTTAGGGTTTTGTTTTCAAGATTCCTTTTTCCCAGTTTCGAGAGGGTGAGGGGGCAGAGTTACTTTTGAAACGATTCCAACTGTGCTTTGAATAATCTAAAAAAAAAAGAGTGTGGGAGGGGGGCGTTTCCGTGCCGTGCCCAACAAGGTCTACAAAAGGATGGGAAAGCGTTCATTCAGGAGGAACCAGGCCGGGTAGATGCGCGGGTCTTATGAACATCAGAGGGGGGAAGATGCTCCTCAGGCAGGCCTCGGGGTCTGCGAATGCCACCTCCCCCGCACCCACTCTCGGACATCTGCTCCTTCTGGGCTACTCTGGCTTCTACCCCAACATACAGCACCTGGAATCGGGCTGCGTCCGCTGAGAATCGCCTCACATCGAACTTGGCTCCCGCGCCGAGCCGGCGAAACAGATCGTGGGCATCCATTTTTACCCAGAAAGCGTCGCGGTCTCATGGCGCCTGCGCAGAAAAGTTACTCCGCAGAAGCCGGAGGCGAGACCGTGGGCGGAAGTGACGTAAGGGGGTGGAGCCGGGCGGCTGAGAGAGTAGGCGGTGTCTTCTTTCTGTAATGTGTCGTTCATTGTGCTCTGTAAAAAAGTATTTATGGGAATATTACTCAGCAATCAAAAAAGATAAACTCATGCAATTTGCAGCAACATGGATGGAGCTGGAAGGGATCAAACTCAGCGAAATAAGCCGGAAAGAAAAAGAAAAAATACCGGATGGTCTCACTCATAGCAGGAATCTAGAAAACTTAAATAAGGGACCAGGAAAAAGACTAATTATAATAAAGTAAAAATCAAAATCAACAAGCAACTATAAACTAGAGACACACTGGGAGGGAGGGGAGGAGGGATTAGAGTCAAAATAGGGGGGGTGGGAATTGTATGGGGAATTTAACCAAGATGAAAATGCATACATTGTGCAAAAATGAAAAATGATGTAAAAAATATATAAAATAAAAAATTTTTAAAAGTATTTATGAAGATTCTCATGTCAGACCTTGTTCTATATTTTTAGGACTACTTAACTGAACAACACCACAAGATTGCTCTGCTCAGAAAACCTACATTTTAGGGGGACACAGAAGACATTGTTAACAAATTAACAAAAGCAAAAAGTGATGTGGAACAATGTTAGCAGCGTAACTGACGGAGAAAGAGAGGGGTAACTACTTTTAAGTCTACTAGTCAGGTTCATTCAGATGAAGTCATTTTTGAGCTAAAAGGAGGCAGTCTTTCTAAGATCTGGGCATGGCTCTTTCTATGAAGAAAAATACTGTGCATTATATTAATAATTCAACTTTCTTCCCTTCTTTCAGAGGGAAGAATTGTATTGAGTATTACATATGTCATATATTTTCTTTTGTAAGCATGCAGTTAGAGTTTAAATTGTGTTTAAGCATGTACTTGTAACTTAAATAGCTCTGATTTTAAATCCTTCCCAGCCTCCACACATATTAGCTGGGATCAGGTCAAATTAACCTCTTTAGAACTAATTTGTTCAAGAGGAGGACCATGATACCTACTTTAGGGTTTGTCTGAGGATTAAATGAGGCTCACAGTCAGTGGTGTATAGTAGAAAGAACATGAATTTGAGGGGTCAGAAAGATACTTGAATGCAATTGTATCAGCTTATAATTTGTTGATCTTGGATGGGTTATTTTCCTGATCTGCCTCTTACTCATTAGTGAAAAAGAGAGTATAGGATTATAATATCTACTTTGAAGGCTGTGGGTAATACAATCACTCATTGTATGGGGCTCAAAATGCTTGAGATATGCCAGGATTACAATCCTAACATATGGTCCTTGAATAACCATTTCATTCAGTTTCATTTTGTTATATTTTTTTTTAGATTTATTTATTTATTTATACAAGCACTGGGTACTGTCAGAAGCGCGGGAGGGTGAGAGAATTCACCATAGCCAGAGCGGAGAACAGAACAGGCCGACTGACAAAATACACTGCTGAGGGGAGCAGCAGGCGCAGCAAGAGAGGTCTGCCCACCATGTGGGACCCTCACCCATGTCCAGGGATCGAACCACCCATGCTGCAGAGGCTGCGGGCAGCTTCGCACCTCAGCGCTTAATCGCTGCGCCACGGGGGGGGGGGGGCATTTTGTTATAATTTTTTTTTTAGATTTAGTGCGCGAGCGCCCTCTGATGGACTGACTTCCTGTGCAGGGTTGGCTCCCACCTTGCAGCCTGAGCTGCTAGGATAAACCACCCTCCACCCTGAACTATAATAGGCGGGATGGAAAATAAATGAATGAATGCATACAAATTATTATTTAACAGTTGAAGTGTTTTGGGTCTTTATTTAGAAGTTTGGTGATGTTTCTGTGACCAGAAATAAGCCATAGGAACTCAAGACTTGTTTATATCACTAACCTATGGTAAAACTGGTTTCCTTATGTCATTTGGCTTAGAGTCATAGTTTCCAAGAAACTTGGCAACTTTAACTGGGGACTCATTGCCTGTAGATTATAGTATAGTCTATATTATACATAAAGCTAATATAATCTGCTTAATAACTGTTCTTTTTCATCTTTCAGTCTATTCTCCTATAGCAGTAATTCTTTACCCTGATGGTGCATTAAAATTCCCCGAAGAACTTGAAAAACAAGACAAAGAAAAATAGGGCCCACCTCCAGAAATTCTTTTTTTTTTTTTTTAAAGATTTATTTTTATTTATTTATACAAGCACTGGGTACAGTCAGAAGCGCGGGAGGGTGAGAGAATTCACCAGAGCCAGAGCGGGGAGCAGAGCAGGCAGACTGAAGTACACTGCTGAGGGGAGCAGCGGGCGACAGGAGAGGTCTGCATGCCATGTGGGACCCTCCTCCAGTGGCCGGGGAGCAGCGGGGGATTGAGCCGGTGCTGCAGAGGCTGCGGGCATCTTCGCAACCCAGCGCTCAACCACTGCGCCACCGGGGAGGCCCCACCTCCAGAAATTCTTATTTAATTGTTCCTAAGTAGCTTCCTGAGTTGTAATTTTTGAAAGTTTTTCCAGTGATTTTAATTGCAGTTGGAATTAAAAATTACTGCCAAAACTGTCTTTCTAAAGCCTAAGTGAGGCCATGTTGCTTTTCTGCTTAAACATCTCTCAGGATGTCCCTTTGTTTATTGAATGCTGAGATTAAATTGCTATAACTTGGCCAAGAAGTGATTCTCAACACTTTCAAGAAATATGACCCACTCCTATAAATAATTTCAACTTGGGTTCAACTTCCAGTCTTACTACTTGCCAACTGAGTGACCTTGTACAAGTTACTTATGCCATTTAAGCCTTAGTTTTGTCATCTTATTTCAACTTTGCATCTTCTAACTCTGAACCTCTGTACATATTTTTCTCTCCTTTTTCAGTTCATTTTTTCTTTTTTTTTTTTTTTTTTTTTTTTTAAATATTAAATTTTATTTTTATATTCCCCCATACAATTGCAAACGCCCCATTCTGACCCCAATCCTTCCCCTCCCGCCCCCCACCCCCAAAAAGTGTCTCTGGTTCATAGTTTTTTGTTGATTTTGATTTTCACTTTCTTATATTCATTTTCCTGGTCCCTTATTTAAGTTTTCTAGATTCCTGCTATGAGTGAGACCATCCGGTATTTTTCTTTTTCTTTTTGGCTTATTTCGCTGAGCATGATCCCTTCCAGTGCCATCCATGTTGCTGCAAATTGCATGTGTTTATCTTTTTTGAATGCTGAGTAATATTCCATGGTATATATGTACCACATCTTCTTGATCCAGTCATCTATTTTTGGGCATTTGGGTTGTTTCCAAAGCTTAGCTATTGTAAACAGTGCTGCTATAAACATAGGAGTGCAGGTGCTCTTTGGAATTGATGTTTCTGTGTCCTTTGGGTAAATACCTAGGAGTGGAATTGCTGGATCATATGGAAGCTCTATGTTTAGTAGGTCCAGAAATCTCCACACAGCTCTCCATAGTGGTTGGACCAGTTTGCACTCCCACCAACAGTGCACAAGAGTTCCTTTTTCTCCACATCCTCGCCAACATTTGTTGTTGCTAGTTTTTTTAATATGTGCCATTCTCACTGGTGTGAGATGGTATCTCATGGTAGTTTTGATTTGCATTTCCCTGATTACAAGTGATGTTGAACATTTTTTCATATGTCTGTTGGCCATTTGCATTTCCTCTTCAGAGAAGTTTCTTTTTAGCTCTTCTGCCCATTTTTTGACTGGATTATTTTCTTTGTTGTTGCTGAGTCTCATCAGCTCTTTGCAGATTTTTGTGATCAGTCCTTTATCATTAGTGTTGGGTGCAAAAATGTTCTCCCAGTTGGTGGGGTTTCTCTTTGTTTTTGTTATTGTCTCTTTTGCTGTGCAGAAGCTCTTTAATTTGATGTAGTCCCAGCTGTTTATCTTTCTCTTCACTATCACTGCTTTGGGTGATGTGTCTGTAAAGATGTCTTTGATGTGCAAATCCCGTAGTGTTTCGCCTATATTTCCTTCTATGTATTTTATGGTTTCAGGTCTTATGTCTAGTTCTTTAATCCATTTTGAGTTGATTTTTGTGTATGGTGTGAGGTAGTGGTCAAGCTTCATTCTTTTGCATGTAGCGACCCAGTTTTCCCAGCACCATTTATTTTCAGTTCATTTTTTCTTATTGAGGTTTACAGTTATTGGTTTACAATACTATATATGCTTTAGGGGAATAGGCTCACACCTCCTCAGATGTAAATCACCACACCACAAGCCCCACAAAAGCGCCCATACACCCTTACCATACCATTGGGCCTCTCCCTCCTTTGTTTCTAGCCCACTCCTTTCCCCTCAAGTAGCCTCAATTCTGTGTCATTATATTTTTCTTTTTTTCTTGGAGTGTCCTCTCTCTTTTTCCTTCCTAGAAAACTCCTTATATTTTTAAAAACTCTGTTAATATGTCCTTTCCTCTGAAGTTTACCCCAAACCTTCCCTTCATGATACATCCATCTTCTTTCTTTGAGTTCTTATGCCACTTTACAAATATCTCTATTTTAGCTCTATTCCTGTTGCATTTGAGTATGGTTCCATACCAGACTGAAATTTTGATGGTTTGACTTGCCTCTCATTTATCTTCATATTATGTTTGCCTATCATAGAGTTTCTTTCATAAGTGGCCAACAATTCTTATTGAATTAATGAAGTGAAATAAGGTAGGCAAAGATCCTGATACTGCCAGCCTTATGGATTTAGGAAAGGACCTATGTTTTTGCTTGGTGCTTTGTAGTGAATTTTGATTGAAAAAGTGAAGTCAAATGGAAATGGTTGGACTTATACCATTTTCTACCTTGACAATGTCCAACTGACTCACTAAGGGACCATTTCCTCTTGGGAAAAATACAAAACAAAACAACTTGAAAGTATCGTCACTAAAAGGGGTGAGGAAATTGAACCACGGTTTTGTATAACTGGAATTTCTCCAAAAACGAGTATGGTCTGAGTGGTAGACACACATGGTTTCTCAAGC